AATTGAAGAGCTCTTGAAAGAGTAATTGTGTAATTTAGTTTAATTATCATAATAATTCGTTAAATATTTCAAATTTATATTTGTTTAAAAATATTTCCAATATTTGAGATTCTAGATCCCATATCAGAGATTGAAAATCTTTGATAAATATACTTTAGAGTTATAAACTCTTATAATATAAAACATTTATACTTGGTGAAACTTGAAAACTGTATATTTAGGACGAGATAATGCTTGCTCTTACCAAGGAAAGTAGAAAAGGAACCAGGAACCTAAATATCTTTGTTTACAAACAGAGTGTACTGTAGCTTTTGGAAGAACAAACAACAGCCTAGGCAGCACTGAGTTTGTATACATTCCTCCCAGAATCTGCAGTACACTTCGCTTGTAAACAAACAGGTGAGGGTTCCTGGTGTAATTTCCTTATCTTCTAAAGTTTAAACCACTGAGTTGTACTTTAGTTACTCTAACGTCTAGTTCCAAGTCATTCTTATATGTTATATCCAAATGAGAAATATGAATGTAATAAAGCAGAATATATTGATTTTCAACTCTGACATGTTTCTTCTTATATCCTTGAAATTAAGCGTTTAGCCGACTACATGGAAGAGAAATCAAGTGAAAGGAATATTTACATATTCTGTTCATTTATTCAGGTCTACACAATGCACTACCAAGCCTTTATACACTGTGTCTCAAAAATAGAAATTTTCGCAACAAAATTTACAAAATAAAAAATGTTTTAAAAAATATATCTAAAGGCCATGAAACTCTCTTTTAGGCGAGACAAATTTTGGCAAAAAGAAAAGTTCACATTTTTTAAAAAACCATAAAAAAACACCTTTCAGAACTTGTTTAGTTAATGTTTCTTTGATCACCCTGTCGTATAAGGACTGGAAGCAATTCCAACTTGTACGAAGCAATATTCTCCAAACCAAGCCAAATCTGAAAACTCATTTTTCTTGGGAGTCTCTCATGCAATGATAATGTCTCTTCTAATGTTTTTTCTCCAATAAAAACCGGCCCTAATTTTATGTGCGCCTTGGTGTTGCCCCCCCCCCCCCCCCTCCCTCCAAACCTTAAAAAAAAACAAATATAGTTTTATCTTCAAAAAAATGCTTCCCGATAATCTAATTACATTATGAAGCTAGAGGTATGCAACTTAGTATCATTTATGATTGAAAAATATGCTTCACAATAACATTATAAATATTACTTTTGTCTGTAGTATATATAACCTATATATATGTAACCTATATATGTAACCTATATATGTAATCTATATATGTAACCTATATATATGTAATCTATATATGTAACCTATATATGTAACCTATATATATATGTAACCTATATATGTAACCTTTATATGTAACCTTTTTATGTAATCTACATATGTAACCTTTATTTTTAACCGATATATGTAACCTATATATGTAACCTATATATGTAACCTATATATGTAACCAATATATGTAATCTACGTATGTAACCTATATTCCTATATATGTAACTTATATATGTAATCTACATATGTAACCTATATTTGTAACCTATATATGTAACCTATATATGTAACCTATATATGTAACCTATATATGTAACCTATATATGTAACCTATATATGTAATCTACATATATAACCTATATTTGTAACCTATATATGTCACCTATATATGTCACCTATATATGTAACCTATATACATAAACTATATATGTAACCTATATAGGTTCCTAAACAACAAATTTGTTTAATGAATAATTTTTGTTATAACGTTTCGAATCTTGAGAAAAAGCCTCCAAAATGGACCATCCTCGCGCTTACTCAGAAACTTTGCACTGTAAAAACGTGTGATAATTATCAAATGAATCCTAAAAATATCCTCTATAAAACTGCTCTCTCAGTTCAACTACAGCTACTACTATTAATGAATCCGAAAATAGATATGCATCTAACAATGTACTCTTTCTAAATAACGAAGAGGGATAACTAGGGGGAGTAATGACATCAGTTCCGAAATCTATTATTATCCATAATTAACTAGATAATCATTCTTGTATAATCTGAAAATCAAGTATGACAGTAGATTATGATGAATATTGAAAGGTTTGATAGTTCTGTGCGCAAATTTACTCTATTCCAATGTTCAGCAGAGAACTTTCCTCTCAAACACGAAAAGATTTGAACAATGCAGCAAAATTAAATTCAAAAGTTAAAAAATTCTTAAAGGGAGGGATAAAAAAATTATTAAACTTTTAAAAAGCGCATCCTGCCAAATTGCATCCTGTCAAACTGGATCCTTATAGACTGCATCCTGTCAAACTGCATACTGTCAAACTGCATCCTGTCAAACTCCATCCTGTCAATCTGCAGTCTGTCAAACTGCATCCTGTCAAACTGCATCCTGTCAAACTGTATCCTGTCAAACTGTATCCAGTCAAATTGTATCCTGTCAAAGTACATACAGTCTAACTGTATCCTGTCAAACTGCATCCTGTCAAACTGCATCTTGTCAAACTGCATCCTGTCAACCTGAATCCTTTCAGACTGCATCCTGTCAAACTATATTCTGTCAAACTCCATACTGTCAGACTGTATGTTGTCAAACTGCATACTGTCAAACTGCATCCTTTCGGACTGCATCCTGTCAAACTGCATCTTGTCAAACTGTATCCTGTCAAACTGCATTCTTTCAGACTGCATCCTATCAAACTGTATGGTGTCAAACTGCATCCTGTCAAACTGCATCCTATCAAACTGCATACTGTCAAACTGCATCCTATCAAACTGCATCTTGTCAAACTGTATCCTGTCAAACTGCATCCTGTCAAACTGTATCCTGTCAAACTGCATCCTGTCAAACTGCATTCTGTCAAACTGCATCCTGTCAAACTGTATCCTGTCAAACTGCATCCTGTCAAACTGCATACTGTCAAACTGCATCCTATCAAACTGCATCTTGCCAAACTGAATCCTGCCAAACTGCATACTGTCAAACTGCATAGTGTCAAACTGCATCTTATCAAACTGCATCTTGTCAAACTGTATCTTGTCAAACTGTATCCTGTCAAACTGTATCCTGTCAAACTGTATCCTGTCAAACTGTATCCTGTCAAACTGTATCCTGTCAAACTGTATCCTGTCAAAAGAGGTCAGGCGCGTTTTGAAAAAGATATTCTACATTTAAAAATAACTCACCTTGATTTCGTAGTTTTCTAATATCTATAACTTGTTTAAGACAATTGTCTATTACAATTCCTTGTATGCGTAAATCCGTGAAATGTATCCTGTATTAGTTTTCATATAAATTGTCATATAAAGCTTTGACAATGCAAACAGTGTGAGAAAAATACAGAGTTGTAATTGTCTGAATTAAAGCAATGTAAAAAGATCAAGTTTTAAACTGTCATAACTTTGAATTGGATTTTTCAAAATTATTTGGATTTGAATTTTTAAAAAAAAATTGTATTTTTGCTAAGAAAATCGCGCCTATACTTTTAAAATCTGATAGTTTAAAACTTTGATCTTGAGCTAGCCGAATTCATTGTTGGAAATATCAAAATTCTAAGTTTTTAGAAATTAGATTTTTTTATGCGAGAAACATATATTATTTTTGCAATTTTTTCAAATTCTAAAAATTATAACATGTCATTTGGTCATTGTACACATGGTTAAGAGGAAAGAGGAGGGGGAACCCTGAAGAAATAATTGGGTTTGCGTGTTGTATTCAAAATATTGATAATTTTTTTACCAATTTTTCTTTTAAATTAAAATTTTTTAAAACAAAATTTAAAAAGAGCAGTGATTTTTTTTCTCCGAATGTTTTCTGTTCTTTTTATCTGATCATACATCTGTTTTCTGTTCTTCTCTTTTAGATCTACGCATTCTAATCTCTTGTAGACAAGAGAAAAATGCATTTTGACACATATTTCTGATTCATACTTTTATTTAATTTGAAATCTTGGCGCCAGAAATATCAAATTAAGTATAATAGAAAGTTACTGTTTGTAAGTAGATATCAGATGTATTTGCAATTTTCAGTAATGTCTGATTCAACAACTGTTGGAGGTTAGATTTAAACACAGTTTCTTCAATATTCTTACAGGTTGGAAAAAGAAAAGTCACAAACGGGGTTTGAAAATTCTGAGGATTTCCATTGTCAGAATTCCGCCTTAATAATGACAAATGGGACAAGAATGGTTAGGCTAGGAGTGGATATTTATGACAAAAGAAGNCTAATGTTTAGATTTTCAGCTGATGTTTCATTTTTTCAATAAAAATTTAAAGTACATGTTCATTTATTTCTTTAGCATATTACAAACTATGAAAATGCAGGTATTGGCGATGCTACAACGATACAGACTTGTCAGCCACCTACGTCTATATTTAAAAGCAAAAAAAAACATTATATCTGTGCCTGTGGGCAAAAAAGAAAAAAATAAGACCCCTTTTATTTCTTCAACTTTTAAAGTTGAAGAAATAAAAGTACCCTTATTTTTTTATATTTTGTACACAGGCTGAGTTATGGACAATTTCTAATGTTGATAAATAGCTCTCCGAACGACAAAATATATAAAGCTAAAATCAAAATTGCAAAAAAATCTGACCTGATTGAGCAAAACGGCGATTATTTTAGTTATCAGTGACCAAAGAGGTAATATAATCAGTTGAAATATTCTAGGCACCATAAAAAAAAATTTCTTTTGTTCCCCAGTGTTATCATTGTTTCTGGCAAGAGGAAAGGGGATGAGAGAGAACGAGAAACCCTCCTTCTCTGCACTATTATTTTCTTTTTTTCTAAGTAGGGTATACTGCTATGTTATTCCTCTGAATACTTTCTAAGCGCTGAGCCAGAGCCAGTTGTTGCTGCTCTGAAAGCTAGATGTACACTGATTCAAAATAATTATAATAATTTCCGTTCGTTCGTTCCGACATGCTTGAAGATATCTTCTACGCAGAAATATTTTTAAACAAATAATTAAATTTAATTTTTTTGCAGGTTCAGTTGTTGAAATCCAGGATACTCCGGGTCCGGAGCAAAGTAGTACTCACGGATCAGTTCCAACCCTAGAGAAGACTAGAATAGTTCCTGATTTATCTCCTGACGTGATCGCGATGACCGGCAGTGATATCAGGCTTGTCTGCCATGTTCAAAATATTAATAATTACACGGTAATAATTCAAGATTTACTTTTATTTTAAAAAAGTCGTCTTCGTTCAATTTTTCGATGATTGTCGTCTGATCGTTCAATATATTTCGTAGAGTGGTCTCTGAAGTCTCATACTTTTTGGGTAACACTGTATCGCCAACATCGCAGACTCAATTATTAATTCTTGTAATATGCAGAATACAGGGTTAACCACAACAGATCAGATTTTTCTTAAATTCATGGTTCGCTGCAAAAGCCTAATTATTTAATTTCTTTGTAGTATAAAATACTAGCATTTACAATAATAGTCTGAAACAAAAAACCCAAAAATATGGTTTCAAGATCGTCTTTGCATGTTCATTCTCTGTGGGTCCTCCTGCATGCTCTGTACTTCAGGTTTCCTGGATCCGACACTCTGACACAGATCTGCTCACGGTCGGATTATACACCTATACTCCGGATACAAGGTTCTCTGCAATCCATCCTGTTCTTCAACCCTTGTATCAGCTCAGGATAGCAGGAGTACACAAGAGGTATCATTATCATGATTGTTATTGTTATAAATATTATAATTATTTTGAAAATATTACTCTCCTATAAGTATGCTCTATTCATGTTTCCCGAGTTTGTTATTTAGATTAGTTTCTGCAGTGATAAGCTTCTTAAACTTTCTCTTTACCCTTCCCTCCACTTGCCTTTCCCTCTTTTCTCTTCCTCCTCTTTCTCCTCTCTCTTCCTCCTCTTCTTCCTCTTTCTCCTCTCTCTTCCTACTCCTCGTCTTCCTCTTCCTCCTCCTTTTCCTCCTTCTCTCCCTCCTTTTTCTTCGTTCTCTTTGTTTTCTTCCTCCTCTCCTTCCTCTTCTTCCTCCTTCTTCTCCTCTTCCTCCTCCTTCTCATCCTCATCCTCATCCTTCTTCCTCCCTTACCTAACCTTTTTAATTAACACTACCTTCTCATCCTTCTCTCTGTTCTCTCCTAATGAAAACAGTGTGCACTATAAACAGTAAACAATATAGATTTAATTTAACTAAAACCAAAGTTAAACCCAACCCCAAATTCAGCAAAATCCGATTATTGCCCGCTGTTAAAACTCACTGTTAGATTTTATGTTTAATATATCTTATACAAATACCTCCAGCTTTGCTTTCATTTTTCCACTTTAGAATTATTTAACCAAGCGAAGAACATGTTAAGTGCTTCGACAAAGTTCTCCAATCCAAATTTTGAGGCAAATCGGTCAAGGAGTCCCTGAGTTTTGACAGACAGACATTCTAACAGAGATTACTACTTTTTTACATAGAAGTAGCAAAATATAAAGAAATGGTATCATTGGAAGTAAAAAATGTCATGTTTGAACGACACAAGATATGTGTCTTTATCCTAAGATGGGCTGTTTAGACACAAGAGGTAGTTTTCGCCGAGCATTGAAGAATTAAAAAAAAACCACAAGCATTTTTGTCATAATTTTAAAATGGATTACCCAATTCGTTTTTTGCCAACAGTTTCTTTAAAATCTGAAATTAAATATTTTCATTTCATATTTCTTCCAGTTGTCACCATTCATAGCGCTAACGGCTGGAGAATTCAACTTTTTAAACCAAATTATTAAAATTCAGAAAGTTAAATTTAAATCATAAAAAATGTATTTTGTTTAGAGCTTTTGACGTCAATATTCAATTTTCTATGCACATTATGACAGTCATGACATAAAAACCTTTTTTAAAACTTTATGAAAACTTGCCAACTATCTTGCAAGTATTACTTCACTTCCATTACGAAAATGATCTATTTTGTCAAGAGATTTTTAAGTGAATATGTGTTATATGTCGCTTGTTAGGTTAATTTTTAATCTTGCATAGACAAAACATGTAATTTCCCATTTATCCATAAAAAGGGGAAAGTATGAAGTGAGTTGCAACTATTTATACTTTTATATTATCTATGTGTCAGAAAGTAACCAATTGTGACTGCACATATCATGTATAATTTATAGCTAAATGCAATTTCAGATCCGTGAAACATTTTTTGAGAAACATCGGATAGAAATAAAAATAGTATTATTCGGTTATTAAAATTATCCTTTTCAACCGTATTTTTACACACCGTGGACTATGATCAATTTATATTCGAACCGGACCGAACCCCTTGTACCGGCCTCAGTGACGCGCCCCGCCCTTATCCTATGTCGGCCCGGTTTTAACATTGATGGCGCGGCCAGACTTTTTAAAGTACCTGGCTTATGATCGGCCTATTTTACCTACCCCACAAAAGTTTACTTTACTGTGTACCAGGCGACTTAAAAATTATTATATAATTTTCTGTTTTTCATGAAAACAATCATGCTATAGATATTGCCAAAATTTAAACAAATCGTTTCGTATATACAGAGCGTCCCATATCATCTCCAAGCTTTAACGCCAAAATAAACACATAATACTCGAAAAACCTAGCATTTTTAGCAAGAAAACTTTTGTGTGAGCCCTATTCAATTTTTCAAACTTCTTAGATTTTCTGATCAGTCCCGAAAATCGTAATTTAAACCCATTGACGATCTAATATGATGTGGGACACCCTGTATAATACCAAACTGGAGGAGTTACAAGGTTGCAACGTCGTATTAGTAATTCTGCAGAAAATGTTGAGATTTAAGTGGAAAGAGTATCTCCAAGTTTGGATTTCTGAGCAGTTTCTTTAAAAAATAATTCTAGAATTGTGCTGCTTTCTGAAAATATTGTTTATATGTTTCTTTATCTTGAAACAGGTTTTGCAGGCTGAACAAACCATATTTAATGCATTTTTGTATTTAAATACAAATATATATATTTTCAAGGAAATAAGATATTTCCCGTGTTAGTTCTCCAATCTAGTAACACAAATCTTCAACTTTTCGTCATTTTTGATTTATTTCAACTTAGTTTCATTTCCTGACATTGTTGTACACAATTGTACATAATAATGTAAATAATAATTGTACTCAATAATGATAATAAAAAGAAAAATCAAAATACGTTTTAAAGAACTAAATTAAGCTTAAATAAATATGAGCATAAAATAATAAATAAATATGAACATAAAATAATAAATAAATATGAACATAAAATAATAAATAAATATGAACATAAAATAATAAATAATTATGAACATAAAATAATGAATAAATAAATAAATAATCTGATCACATCCACAATAAAATAGTTCGGTACACAAATTTAGCTCAAAATTATATTTAAAACAGAATTTACGAATCATAATCAAAAAAAAAATATTCTTTTCACCCTATTGACATATTACCACCTTACAGTTACAAATTATTATATGTTATTGTATTTATCCTTTAAATTGAATTCTTTTATTTCAGTGATGAAGGTATATACGAATGCCAAATCTCGACAACGCCACCTATTGGACATTTTGTTAAACTATCTATTGTAGGTGAGTAAATCAAATAATTAAAATATCTAAACTTTTTTCAAATTTGGTTGTATAGTGACATGTCTAATTCACAATTTACCCGTCAAATTTTTCTCAACTTTAGAAATTTTATATTATTTTAAACCAATCTAAATAACCGTTAATCTTAACAATTGATTTTTTCTTTCATTTTTCACCCCCCTCCACCCTTATCTGACATTCCTTTCTATCACAAAAAATGCATTTTAGAAATAATTTATCAATGAATATGACATTTTAAACTGCTGAGAGCTGCAAAGTTTGCACAGTTTTTTTCTCACAAAACTTTTAACAAGAATAAGACAACGATAATTGTACAAAGCAGTCATTTATTTCACTAAGTTTGCTGCGAAAAGAAATATTTGTAAAAACTTCAAACTAATGGAAATGCACAAAAAGTCCATCTTGAGGCGCCTTCGGGATTTCTAGCTTATGCCGCAGGGTATACATACATTCAAGGAGATATAAAACTAAGGAGAGGCAGGGTATACATACATTCAAGGAGATATAGAACTAAAGAGAGGCAGGGTATACATACATTAAAGGAGATATAAAACTAAAGAGAGGCAGGAAGGAGAGTTAGGGTAAACATACATTCAAGGAGATATTGAACTAAGGAGAGGCAGGATAAACATACATTCAAGGAGATATAGAACTAAGGAAATGTAAGGCATACATACATCAAAGGAGATATAGAACTATAAGGAGATGCAGGGTAAACATACATTAAAGGAGATATAGAATTAAGGAGAGGCAGGGTAAATATACATTCAAGAAGATATAGAACTAAGGAGAGTGCAGACTGAGATCTAAGGCTTATGAGTGGTGAGTGCAGAGTGAGATTCAAGGTCAATGAGTGCAGAGTGCAGAATGAGGCTCAAGGTTTATGAGTGCGGGGTGCAGAGGAAGATTCAATGTTTATGAGTGGAGAGTGCATAGTAAGGTCCAAGGTTAATGAGTGGAGAGAGCAGAGTAAAGTTCAAGGTTTATGAGTGCGGAGTTCAGAGTAAGGACCGAGGTTTGTGAGTGCAAGTGTAGAGTGAGATCCATGGTTTATGAGTGCAAGTGCAGAGTGAGAAGAGTAAGATCCAAGGTTTATAAGTGACGAGTGCAGAGGAAGATTCAAGGTTTATGAGTGGAGAGAGCAGAGTAAGGTTCAAAGTTTATGAGTGCGGAGTTCAGAGTAAGGACCGAGGTTTGTGAGTGCAAGTGTAGAGTGAGATCCATGGTTTATGAGTGCAAGTGCAGAGTGAGTTCCAAGGTTTATGAGTGGAGAGTGCAGAGGACGGTTCAATGTTTATGAGAGGAGAGTGCAGATTAAGGTTCAAAACGTATTAGTGGAGAGTGCAGAGTAATATTCAAGGCGTATGAGTGCAGAGTGCAGAGTAAGGTCCGAGGTTTATGAGTGCAAGTGTAGAGTGAGATCCATGGTTTATGAGTGCAAGTGCAGAGTGAGGTTCAAAGTTATGAGTGGAGAGTGCAGAAGGAGTTCCAAGGTGCATGAGTGCAGAGTAATTTTAAAGGTTTATGAGTGCAGAGTGCAGAGTAAGGTTTAAGGCCCTAGGTCCAAGATTGGCTTTTGTTGGCTTATCTCAATTCCCATATTTCTATTTGTGCAAAAACAACTTTGTTTACAATTGGAGGAAAATTGAATATTTTCATATTCCTTAATATCATTTTGCTTTTTCACTTAGATTTTATATTATTAAATAATTATATTTTGTACTGATTCGAATCAGGGAGTTAATGAATTAATGAATATTTTACTCTGAAGGTTTCAGTTTTAAATTTTTATAGGTATTTATTTTTGAGATACACTTTCTATCTTTTCATGATTAGGAATTGAGTCTTTGTAGCAAAGTCATATTTTTTAATCCATATATCCGTGTAAACCTTTGATATTTTAAACTTTGATTATTTGATCCAACAGAATTTATAGTTTGAAATATTAAATGTCTTCGAAATCTGGTTAGAAAGATTAGAAAATTAGAAAATTAGAAAAAGAAAGGATTAGATAATCAAAGTTTGTGGCAAATACTCAATTCTTTTGTCTCATGCAGACATCCCTGGTTTGAAGAGAATCTCCTGTGTTTTTAGTCCTCGATATCTCCTTTATTTCAAGAGAAAGGACATGATGCATTACTATAGAAACTGATCAAGTAATAAACATTAAACTGAAAACAAACGCTCCGTTTTCAAGGGATTGTGCCCCTCCATTGATGGTGTGGCATATCCGATTCGGAGAGGTACCCTGACAAGTTTCGTGTATGAAATGGATATCCATGTTTTTCTCTTTCAGAATTGATCAATTTCATTTGTGGTTTCTCTACAAAAGTGACTTGCACATTTCTTGCAACCCTGACTACGGAGAAACTATAAAAATAAGAAATCTTTAGTTAAAAATGGACACTATTCATTCTATCTTAAAATTAACAAGGACAGCGATTTTTGTGTCAATTTTCATAAATATTAAACTTGTCTCAACCCCAATGGATTGCTCAGATATTTGAGTAAATTGTAGATTTCCCAGTGCCTGAACAAAGAACTATAATTAAACATGTTATTTCAGGTTTTAAAGATAATTCTAAACTAAAAGGAGTTGAGTCTTTTCCACAAACTCTGATCTTATAATCCCTACTATATCTTTGGAATCCAATGTCGTAAATCTTTGATATTTCAAACTTATATTATTTAATCTAACAGAATTCATAGTTTGAAATATCTAAGGTCTACGACATTGGAATACGAAGATATAGGATTTAGAAAAGCAGAGTTTGTGGCAAAGACTCAATTCCTTTGTAGAACATTAATCGTAAGTTTAACTCGGAGCATTTAATCAGAAACGCGATATACTGAATTTGATGTTTCAATCTTTAGTTATATTGTTAATGCTGATATGAATGCTAGAAATGTCTAGAGACGTATTTACTAGAATGATGCTAAATTACAGCGAACGCCACCCGAACATGATTAACATTTTAAGACCCTCCGCCCCTGCCCCGTACAAAAAAAACTAGGAGGTTTACTTACTTTATACATGTTCCATATACATACATTTCTTTTCTAATTAAACAATAATCCGACGAGTAATCTCTGGGAGGTTGTCAATTAGGTCGAGCATTTTTATAAATTAGAATTATTTATTAATATTAATTTATTTGTAGACCCTGTAACGGAAATATTGGGTGGACCAGATATATTTGTGGATGCTGGGAGTACTATCAACTTGACATGTGTTGCTTCATTTACTCCGGGTCCTCCTCAATACGTTAAGTGGTTGCACTTTACTCAGGTACCTAGATCCATTCCATCCTTGTACTCCGGGTACTCCTCAATACGTCAGGTGGTTACATTTTACTCAGGTACCAAGATACATTACATCCTTGTACTCCAGGTACTTCAATATGTCAGGCGGTTACACTTTACTAAGGTACCTAGATACATTCCATCCTTGTACACTTGGTACTCCTATACGTCAAGTGGTTACACTTTACTCAGGTACCTAGATACATTCCATCCTTGTACTCCGGGTCCTCCTCAATACGTCAAGTAGTTAGATTTTACTCAGGTACCTAGATACATTCCATCCTTGTACTCTGGGTACTCCTCAATACGTCAAGTGGTTCTTTTGTAAACTTCTTCTGGATCTCCTCCTACTCCACCAACTCCTTCTCCTACTCCTACTCCTTCAACTGCAACCTCTTAATTTCATGATTTCCATGCAAGTTACATTTGAAGATGAAAGTGCATAATCTTGTTAAACCATGGATTGAATTCCAATGCATTAAATTATCTTTGATCAGGTTAAAATTCTCCATAAGCGAGTAAATCTGCAATATTATCTACAGGCTGGGGGAGTAAAAAAAATTGGATTATAAATGTCAATTTTTTGTTTGTTTTGAATTTAGGCAAAAAAAAATTCAAATGTGAAAAAAATTCATATATTTTGTAAAAAGCTAAAATTATTGAACTTTTTCTATACTATGAAAATGTTCATTAAAACCTCAAAAAAATTCATCAAAAATTGAAAGAGATAATTAACGTAGTCATACCGTTCTGAGGTATTATTAGACAACATGTACTGCAGATTTCACCTTCTAATTTGTTTGTTATATCTCATTCATTTTTTGATGTTCCACAAATATTTTTCAATTTTTTATCACATTTTTTATTTTTATACCTAAAATCCTAAACAAGCAAAAATGTTGAAAATTTTGTCCAAAACATCGATAAACCCTGTTTTGTTACTCACCCTGTACATATATGTACATGTACTAAGTACTTCAAAACATTGAAAATGCAAATAAGTTAAAACTCCTCATTTTAGGTTTTAGACATAGATAAATAAATAAACATAGATAGCTTATGAACGCAAAATCACCAAGAATTGTACAGTCTGCAAACTCTTACTTCTAGGGGTCAAAGTGTACTTCAATGATAAGCGGGGTGATTTGGTGTTTTAATGGATTTCATAATTATTATACCACTCAGGAGTGAATTTTCAATGAGCAATATATATCATATTGACAAGAACTGAAGAAGGACATGAGAAGGACTAAACTAACTTAAATTTCTTTTTACAAAACCATATACACCACAAGTACTCAATGACATAAGAACAGCCAATGTTCACAACCGACCTAGTTAATCTATATAACAGAAATATCTTTAAAACATCTCTGTACATTTATATCTTTCAAGATGAAAAATGTCGTCTTATGCGCAATCTATCTTTATCTATGGTTTTAGATCAGATTTTTCTGGAGATTTTGTCACAAACTGGGATTTTCTAATCTTTGAATTTTGTTAGATTAAATCATCTAAGTTTAAGTTTTGCACTATCAGGTGGGACAGATAAAAGGATTAGAAATTTTGCACTATCAGGTGGGACAGATAAAAGGATTAAAAGTTTTGCACTATCAGGTGGGACAGATAAAAGGATTAGAAGTTTTGCACTATCAGGTGGGACAGATAAAAGGATTAGAAGTTTTGAGTTCGCGACTATAATTCCTTTACGTGAATCTAAAAAATATTAGTGTTTCCACAGTTTTTTTCTACCTTTATTGATTTTAAATCTTTAACCTTTGATTAAATGAAAATAAGGGGCTTAAAATTAAATAAAAAATTAAAATCTTGACAAAAAAATTTAAATTTGTGCCTCAAACTCAAATTTGTTAGTCCTTTTATGCTTGCAACCTAATGGTGTAACCTTGGATATTTCAAAATAAGTTGTTCGACATTTGGTTGCAACAAATCTGGTTTGTGGAAAAGACTCACAAATTCTAGGACAATCGTCCAGATTCTAGGACGTCTAGATTTTTAGGTTTACCAGTATATTTACGTAAATATTTGTGTTCATTTTAGGCATTTTATAAATGGATTACTTACTAAATGTTTTACACCCTGTATTTTTTAATAAAACTTTCTGGATTTGAAAAATGAAAAAACTTGTTTGAACGTGTTTTATACATTTATGCATTCTCCTGATTGATGTTAATAGATTAATCCTTCTCAACCTTTCAAACTAAATCTCTAGAATCAGGAAATCCCTTGGAACAGTCGGAGCAGCTAAATGTTTTGTTCTATTTTATACTTTTACCAGAGGTCTTTTAAGTGAAATATCGTTAATCTTGAAAGCTCGATTTTAATTTTCAATACGAGCCCTTTTAGATTGAGGTTAAATGCCGGACCCCTAATTAAAGTGCCTTTCATGAGATGAAGACTTGATTATGTTTAGGAGATATCCTGGTTTATATACTGGTTATGTTTAGGATATATCCTGGTTTATATCCTGGTTATGTTTAGGAGATATCCTGGTTTATATCCTGGTTATGTTTAGGAGATATCCTGGTTTATATCAAGGTTATGTTTAGAGATATCCTGGTTTATATCCAGGTTATGTTTAGGAGATATCCTGGTTATGTTTAGGGTATATCCAGGTTTATTTCCTGGTTATGTATAGGATATATCCTGGTTTATTTCCTGGTTATGTTTAGGAGATATCCTGGTTATGTTTAGGATATATCCAGGTTTATTTCCTGGTTATGTTTAGGAGATATCCTGGTTATGCTTAGGATAAATCCTGGTTTATATCCTGGTTATTTAGGATATATCCTGGTTTATATTCAGGTTATGTTTAGGAGATATTTTGGATAGGTTTATATCCAGGTCATGTTTAGGAGATATCCTGGATGGGTTTATATCCAGGTTATGTTTAGGAGATATCCTGAATGGGTTTATATCCAGGTTATGTTTTGGAGATATCCTGGATGGGTTTATATCCAGGTTATGTTTAGGAGATATCCTGATTATGTTTAGGGTATATCCAGGTTTATTTCCTGGTTATGTATAGGATATATCCTGGTTTATTTCCTGGTTATGTTTAGGAGATATCCTGNACATGCCCAATTTACATTTGTCTACAGAGTTACGAGTACATGCCAAATTTACATTTGTCTACAGAGTTACGAGTACATGCCAAATTTACATTTGTCTACAGAGTTACGAGTACATGCCAAATTTACAACGATAGCTCTAAACCCTTGTCTGATCAAAGCTGATGGATCTATATTTTTGATTTTCTATCGGAAATTTGATGATTTTCATGGATGATTGATATAATAATAACTTGCGGATTAATGCAGCATAAAAAAGGAAGAAAATGTATTTAATTCTGCTTGGATCATACTATTGGTGCGTTTAAAATCATGTATTTCTTTAGTATTTTTTAAACTTTTATCTTTGCATATTTTTCTATTATTTGTTTGATTGAAATATATATATATAGGAAACTATACTTGTGCTCCGCAAAATTCTAGGACAGCTTCTGTACATTTACATGTACTGCAAGGTAATATTTATGTACTAAATGGTAATATTTATGTACTAAATGGTAATATTAGTGCACTGAACAATAATATATGTGTACTGCAAGGTAATATCTATGTACTGCAAGGTAATAGTTATGTACTTGTCCGATAAACATTATTGCACAATATTGGAAATAACCCGTATTTCATAGTCAATAGTTAGTATCTACTATCATATACGTTAAGATGTACATAAAATGCTTTTTAACACGTACTGACATTTCTAACACGTGTACTGTAATTATTCACATAGGCCTAACAACATTCTATATATGATCATCATGCACATTTTATGGTATAGCGGAAACAGACAAATTATTCAATATCCTTAAAGGTCAAAATAAACCATATTGAATGCTGTATCAGAAGTAATCCGCATCAGTTTGTAAATACTAGAATTTTAACCCTGTCAGCTGCAGTAGCTATTTAGAAAGACTCGGTTAAAAGTCATGTTGGCAAATTCAGTTGCAGAAAAATTGAAGGAATTGGTTTAATTTATGTTTAATGAAAATGATAAAAGAAAAAATTTATGAAAATGGTCATATAGAGTATTTACAGGGACTGTAAAAACATTTCACTAGAAGTGGATTATTCAATTGGCGTACTGTTTCGTTTTGCCTTATAATCTGTATTCGTACTGTACAGCTTGCTACATGAAATGAACTGGAGTGTATACAGTGACTCTTTCGTAGATAAAGTAGTAATCTAAAGAAATAACTAAGTAATCTTTGTAATGCAATGTACAGTGTACATTTTGTATGGTTTATTTTTTTCTGGGGTTTTCTGCCACAAACGTTTCCAGAACTATTATTTTACTATTTTAATAGCATTAGCAACGCATAAACTGGGCAAAATATCTGCAAAATAAAGGATTATGCTCACATTTTAAACTAATTCACTTTCAAGCTACAAAACTTAATCTATTCAATTAAAAAACTGGACATGGAGGATATAAAGATAGAAGGATTGAAGGATAGAAGGATAGAAGGATAGCAGGATAGAAGGATAGAAGGATAGAAGGATAGAAGGATAGAAGGAAAAAGGATAGAATGATAGAAGGATAGAAGGATAGAAGGATAGAAGGATGGAAGGATAGCAGGATAGAAGGATAGAAAGATAAAAGGATAAAAGGATAGAAGGATAAAAGGATAGAAGGATGGAAGGATAAAAGGATAAAAGGATAGGAGGATAGAAGGATGGAAGGATAAAAGGATAAAAGGATAGGAGGATAGAAGAATAGAAGGATAAAAGGATGAAAGGATTAAAAGAGTAAAAGGATAGAAGGATAAAGGATAAAAGGATTAAAAGAATAAAAGGATAGAAGGATAAAAGGATAAAAGGATAAAAGGATAAAAAAATAGAAGGAAAAAAGGATAGAAGGATAAAAGGACAAAAGGATAGAAGGATAGAAGGATAGAGTATAGAAGGATAAAAGGATAAAAGGATTAAAAGAATAAAAGGATAGAAGGATAGAAGGATAGAAGGATAGAAGGATAGAACGTAACGTATTAAAACGTTTCAAAAGGCTAATATTTCTCTGGTCAAATCTTGTAACTTTTCACCAACGAGATTCCAGAATGGCTTTTAATCATTTAAAACAGAATTAAATTATTTATTGTCATTTTAAAAGATATATTCTAAACAATTTCAATTTTTTTGGGCAAATAATATATTCAAGATTATATAGAGGGTTTATTTAGTACCTTCACCTTGCATCCGAGGCTTTTATACAATCTATAAAATATATTAACATTCTTAAAGAAATATGCAAAAAGAAAATTCCAAAGAAATATAGAACATATGTAAACTTTTATACTACAAAGAAAGTGTTTATATCCATCATTGAGAAGAGAAGTAGATTCTGCATTAGGGATCTTGGTTGCAGGACGGATTATGTTTACTCATCTCCTATTTGTATACAGGATGGATATATCCCCTATAATCTTCTACAGGACGGCTTGAAACTACTCATCTCCTATCGTGTTTTACAGGACGGATTATGTTTACTCATTCCCTATCCTATTCCACAGGAAGGATTATGTTAACTCATTCCCAATTCTATTCTACAGGACAGATTAAAACTACTCATCTCCTATCCTCTTCTACAGGACAGATTAAAACTACTCATCTCCTATCCTCTTCTACAGGACAGATTGAAACTACTCATCTCCTATCCTCTTCTACAGGACAGATTAAAACTACTCATCTCCTATCCTCTTCTACAGGACAGGTTGAAACTACTCATCTCCTATCCTCTTCTACAGGACAGATTAAAACTACTCATCTCCTATCCTATTCTATAGAACGGATTATGTTTACTCATCTCCTATCCTCTTCTACAGGACAGATTGAAACTACTCATTTCATATTTTATTCTACAGGACGGATTAAAATACTCATCTCCTATCCTGTTCTACAGGATGCAGATTGAAACTACTCATATCCTATCCTGTCTACAGGACGGATTGAAACTACTCATCTCCTATCCTGTCTACAGGACGGATTGAAACTACTCATCTCCTATCCTGTCTACAGGATGCAGATTGAAACTACTCATCTCCTATCCTGTCTACAGGACGGATTGAACCTACTCATCTCCTATCCTGCCTACAGGACGGATTGAGACTACTCATCTTCTATCCTGCCTACAGGAAGGATTGAGACTACTCATCTCCTATCCTGTCTACAGGACGGATTGAGGCTACTCATTTCCTATCCTGTTCTACAGGACGAATTGAAACTACTCATCTCCTATCCTGCCTACAGGACGGATTGAAACTGTTCATTTCCTATCATGTTCAGCAAGACGGATTGAAACTACTCATCTCCTATCCTCTTATACAGGATGGATTATGCTTACTCATCTTCTATTCTCCAGGAGGGATTGAAACTATTCGTCTCTCCGGATTGAATCTACTTATCTCTCTATTCTGTTTACAGTACGGATCAGACTCTCTCTTTAGCTGTATATATATAAATCAACTGATTCTAGATTAAATTAGCACTTTACTTGACTCATAAACCATATATCTGAGGAAACATAAACAAGGAGACAGATTGTAGAAACTACCTCACAATGTTTTCCTGGACGCCATTTTGAATTTATTGCTGGAACTATGGCTAATACTGAGATGTTACATTTAATTTACGCAAAGGTTTTTATGTTCAAGGCATGGTTGTTGAATAAGATAAATATTTTCAACCAAATAGGTTTTTAAATTGATTAAAGTCTAAAAAAGTCGTTTAAAAACTTTATTTGAATTAAACACCCTGTAGAGAAACAGCGAAAAAGAATCGAGGTAGAACATATGACGCTAAAATTCTTTAAAAACGTCATTCTTCCACCAGTTTTGTTTTGCTTAATTCGTTGTATTTAGTTAAATTTGAGTTTTAAGAAGTTTGTGATGAAAACTGGGATGCTTCTCATGACAAGTAGTTGGCCAATTTAACACAAAGGGTATCCAAAAAGTTTCCCCTTTTTAAAGAAAGTATATTCTACAGTGAAACCCTTAATAACGAATACATCGGAAGAATTTATCAAATGTCGTCTTAACAAATTTTCAATGAGTTTTATACTATATTACGTAAATTTCAGTATATGCGAAAATAGATAAATAGCCATAAATATTCGGGAACAGTTTTAAAGAGTTCCATCATTTAATTAAAAACTAAATATCTGTAACATTCCATTTTCAAAAAGTGAAGAATACGACATTTGATGAATTCTTTCGATGTATTCGTTATTAAGGGTTTCGCTGTAGCAAAATGACAGGGGAAATTGGTTGATTCAAAATTGAATTCGAAATCGATAGCTACCAATGTTTATCTATCTAATGAAGCTTTGTAATGAAGACAATTGTTTGAAAAGTTTGTCGCTTACCACTAGAAAATCCAGTTCATTTCAAGTAACTGGGCGACTTTTATGTATATAGACTTTTATACACCAGTAAAGGATAGTGAAAACTCGAGTTAGATAGCTGTACAATTTTATCAGTGCAAACGAATAAGTTAGACATTTAATTCAGACTCAGTTTTTAGGTTAATAAACAAGTTTAAGGAAAATGAAAAAAGTTCTGAAAACTCTAATTATGTTTTCCATTCATTTCAAATTATTCATCTCTTTGTAAAAAAAACTAAAAGTTTTTAACATGTTTAGTTCAGGATTACGGAGAAAATATGCTTTAACAATTTGAATTTAAAAACTAAAGTTTTAAATTGTTCTCAGAATGCCAGGGTCCATTGATCGATCTATCTATCTATCTATCTATCGATCGATCGATAGATCTAACTATCTATCCATATGAATATCTATCTATGTATACTATCTATCTATCTTTGTCATCTTTGTCTACGTGGCTGCAGAGTGTTTGAGTTGAGATCCTTTTCTATTCTTCTTGCCACAACGCTCTCTCTATATTTATTCTTATTTTCTATAGATTAATTAAAATAACAGATAGGACACTAGATGTCGTCTTTTCAAGATTTATGTGTGTTTCGTTCACAATAACCCTGAAGCTTAAGCCCAAAGGAGTTACACGTAGTCGGCGTAGAACAGGCTCTCTCTGTCTTAGTAAACACTTTACTAATCTTTCAGGTTTTACTTCTGTGATTTGCAGTAATTTGACCGTAGAAATAGTGGAGTTTAGTGGAGTAGTATACTACTGTACAAAATATATACACAAACACATTACACAACTCTGTCTTTCTATTTATCTTACCTTGGTTTAATTTTATGAAACTACATTAGCATAAATAGTAAACAAAGCTCGAATAATGAATTGTGACTAGTTTTCTTCCTTCTCAGTATTCTTGAACAATCCCTTTATTATCAACCTCAACAGTATTCAGTATTCTTGAACAATCCCTTTATTATCAACCTCAACAGTATTCAGTATTCTTGAACAATCCCTTTATTATCAACCTCAACAGTATTCAGTATTCTTGAACAATCCCTTTATTATCAACCTCAACAGTATTCAGTATTCTTGAACAATCCCTTTATTATCAACCTCAACAGTATTCAGTATTCTTGAACAATCCCTTTATTATCAACCTCAACAGTATTCAGTATTCTTGAACAATCCCTTTATTATCAACCTCAACAGTATTCAGTATTCTTGAACAATCCCTTTATTATCTACCTTTACAGAAAATACGAAAATGTTTTGTAAAACTAAAGTTTATTGTTTTATTGTTTTCGCGAAAAAAAAACCGCCAATTTGTTTTTATTGTACTGTCTTTGTTTTCTTATTGGTTAATATGTGTCAACAATCAACATGGGGTTTAATTGTTTTTATTTTAGGAAAACATCCGGCAGCCATCCAGGGTTCTCCGGTCTCTAACCATCCTTCCATCCTTCTCCATATCATCGTTATCATTCTGTCTACCATTCAGAGTCTTCATTTTTATCCGTTCCAGTTCTATATCCCAACATAATTTGTACTCTTTCATTTGTTCGGGCTTCCGTTCCTGTCTCCTCTTTTTCCGTTGTATTAAAGGGGCTGTAAACGTACTTTCAGTTGTATTAAAGGGACCGTAAACGTAATTTCCGTTGTATTAAAGGGATTGTAAACGTACTTTCCGTTGTATTAAAGAGACCGTAAACGTAATTTCCGTTGTATTAAAGGGATTGTAAACATAATTTCCGTTGTATTAAAGGGATTGTAAACGTAATTTCCGTTGTATTAAAGGGATTGTAAACATAATTTCCGTTGTATTAAAGGGATTGTAAACGTACTTTCCGTTGTATTAAAGGGATTGTAAACGTAATTTCCGTTGTATTAAAGGGATTGTAAACGTACTTTCCGTTGTATTAAAGGGACTGTAAACGTAATTTCCGTTGTATTAAAGGGATTGTAAACATAATTTCCGTTGTATTAAAGGGATTGTAAACGTAATTTCCGTTGTATTAAAGGGATTGTAAACATAATTTCCGTTGTATTAAAGGGATTGTAAACGTACTTTCCGTTGTATTAAAGGGATTGTAAACATAATTTCCGTTGTATTAAAGGGATTGTAAACGTACTTTCCGTTGTATTAAAGGGACCGTAAACGTAAATTCCGTTGTATTAAAGGGATTGTAAACATAATTTCCGTTGTATTAAAGGGACTGTAAACATAATTTCCATTGTATTAAAGGGATTGTAAACATAATTTCCGTTGTATTAAAGGGACTGTAAACGCAAATTCCGTTGTATCACAGGGACTGTAAACATACTTTCTGTTGTATTAAAGAGACAGGAAACGTAATTTCCATTGTATGAAAGGTACTGTAAACGTAATTTCTGTTGTAATAAAGGGACTGTAAACATAATTTCAAGCTTTGTGTCGAGTATAAATTAAATTTTTCTGTAAATTGTTTACTTTCATTTGTATTTTCTCTACAAAAGTGACTGCAGGCGAATTACTGAAAAACAACGGAGAAACTAAAATAACACTTTTTAGCCACATTTTTGATCAAATTAAGGTGCCAAGGGTACCGTTGTGAATTGTACATGTCAAATGAAAGGACATTTAAAATTACAAGGACAGTCCCTTTAATTAAATTTAAACTAATTTTCTTTAACCCTTCTATCCATATTATTCTTTATTTTTTTCCATTTATTATCCCCATCCATCTTTTCATCAATGTTTCTTTTCTCCATTGTCTCCATCCGTCCTTTCCATCAGTTCCCTTTAATACTTTCTCTATTATCTTTATTTATCCTTCCTTCTCATCCTTCCATTGGTAGATCCATCATCCTTCCTTCTCATCCTCCCGTCAGTATATCTATCCTTCCTTCTCATCCTTCATCCTAATTCCTTCATAGATCTTTCTCATCCTCTCGTCAGCATACCTATCCTTCCTTCTCATTTCTTCATTTTCATAATGAACCTTCTCTTTTATCCTTCTATTTCTCCAATATCATTTATCACTAGTAAAATTATTTTTTTGTCATATTAATATTTTTTTCTGTTTCCTCCCTACCCTCGACTCTGTACTCCCCCTACCCTTATAATTTCCACTGCAGAGAACACTATTATTATAATCTTCATCCTAGTCCTATACATGATTAATTGTATATTTTTATATTGCTATTATATAAATGTATATAAATATTACCCATTGTCTATTATTTTTTCGATCTTATACCAGTACAAGCTAGCTGACAGTACCCGGATCAACAGTACAAGACAGTACCCGGATCTACCAGTACAAGACAGTACCCGGATCTACAGTACAATACAGTACCCGGATCTACCAGTACAAGACAGTACCCGGATTACCAGTACAAGACAGTACTCGGATCTACCAGTACTCGGATCTACCAGTACAAGACAGTACCCGGATCTACCAGTACAAGAACCCGGATCTACCAGTACAAGACAGTACCCGGATCAGTAGTTCAACCCTTGAACTACACATCTGAGTAAATCCCCCAGATACTTGAATTCAATCTAACCTAACTTGTAGAATTAGATAATGTTCTGATGTGAGATCGTTAAAGTGCTTTCATTACAAGTTGAAACATTGTAAATTCAACAATATTATTCAAGTAAATGTTTAAACAAAATACCTTTTCTTTTATTATCCGCGAACCGTGAAGTGTTTGAATCAATCAATTTTAGTTGTTTCGGGTAATAGACATAGCTAGATTTTTAAGGTCGTAGTCACTTTACTTTTTTAAAGAGTTTCGCACTTTTTAAAGTAATCTTTTACATTTTTAGATCTAACACTTTTATTTGTACTTTTTATAAAGGGCAATGAGTAATAGTGTCTTTCTATAACAACATTATTGGGTTATATATATTTTTTTATATGTATTTTAAGAACAGTTTTTCTTAACACTGAAATATGTCCAATTTTAGGGAACTTTTTTTGGCAAGCTTTAATTAGCTAATTCCTATATTTTTGCAAGGTTTAGTTACTTTAGAAAGTTAGATTATATATAATCTATAATAGTTTAAACTAACAAAGATCTACAACATCGGGATTGCGCGCACAGATGTAAAGATTAAAAAACAGAGTTTGTAGCAATAACTCAGTTCTTTGGTTCTCTTCTCAAATTCTAAATGAAGGTTCTCATTGTGAAATGCATTCGATTCTTCGATATTGTAAACTTTATTAAAGTTAGAACTGTTAAAAGTTTTTTTTCTAGTCTCAGCTTAAAAAGAGTTATTGGCAAAATTTTGCCATTTTTGCGTTAAAACTTGCACTTTTAGTTCACATGCGGTATTGGAAGCATTTTCTATAATATTGTTATTGTATAGATATTTACTATTGTCTGCTGGGAGAATCATTAACATACAAAGGATGCCAAGAGAAGGATAAACCACTAGTTATTAACATGCGATATCAAAGTACTTTCCAATATTCACAGTTAGAAAAACTATTCCTTAACCGAGGATCAGATTTTATGAATAGCAAGAAGTAGCTGAACCGTGCAGATATAGTTCAACCAACTGTCTTGTGCGGCGTTCAGCCATGTCTCGCTATACTCATTACAACTAGTCCCAGGCTGACTTTGAAGTAGCCTTGTATTTGAAAAGTTGTAAAACGTCAAACGCTTGTTTTAAACATTATTTTTAATTTTCTGATTTCTCCCCCAAATCGTAATTTAGACCCATTGACGCGGTTTGATGTGGGACACCCTGTATATTCTTGTATATTTATGTTATACATACATCCATCTAAATCCAAATTCTAACTGTATTTATTGATCAATGGTTTGGAAAATGTTTACTTTCAAGGGCTGTTAGCGTCATTTCTTTAGAATCTTTCATCTGGGGGAAATATAAGTTTTCCTTATTCTTCATTTCAGAAATATCATAACAATTTAAATATCCATCTCCGATGCAAGAATGGTGAAAACGACGTAAAAATTCTAATCGGACATTTATCCCGAAATTTAAAACATTATTTGGCCACTAGGTGTCTCTGCTCTTGATACAGGGTGTCCCAATAAACATGGGAATTCAATGACGAATTCGATATCGTCTTTATAAATAATTCTTTGATTTAGTATAGTGATACCTACTGAGAAAGCTGTTATCTCTATGAGTTTCGTCTGCTATGTTCACATTTTGCTTGTTTATGTTTTGACTGCATACGGTTGTACTTAGTAAAACAAGAAAATTGCAGTATACAAACAGAGTAAACTTGTCCGTCTTCACTGTTCATCTTGCGGAGACATTATAAACACATCTTTACAGTCTTTTACCGTTTTCATCAAATAAACTTTAGAAGACATAATAATATTATGGCTTTTGAAATTAGGTATTACAATGCTAATTTATTACAAAGACGATATCCAATTCGTCACTGAATTCCCATGTTTTTTGGGACACCCTGTATTGAATTCAATTAAACATCAGCCTACACCCCCTTTAATTTTTTGCGAGCACTCCCTCTAAGAAAACACGGTTTTTAATATTTGTTTGAAAAATCAGAAGCTTTTAAGGATTGGCACAATTTTGTTTTGGCTTATGCCATAAAACTAAAACACCAGAATCTGAATATTTTGGTGTTCAAAGTTTTCTGAGTTGAATTGGTGCAATCATACCCAGGCATATGCAGATGAAATGGTTTGAGTGTTTAGGGTGTAAGAGCTCGGATAGAAACAAGAGATTAACTTCATACAACCGCTTAAACGAGGGAGGGAGGATCATCCGGCCATTTGAGCCCATCAATATCCTGTTCGAGCCCAGGTAATTAGCAGAACCTTTCCTGGGCATGGTTCTGCTAACTACCTGGGTTCGAACAGGAAGTTGCTGGGCTCTAGGCTGCATGCCCCCCCCACCCCTCCCTCTTTAATCACCCAGCAATACAAACAAGTATTGAATAAATTTAACATATTTTACAAGATGGCCGCGGGTAGATCTTGACTTTAAACAAAGATGGGTAGATCTTGACACTTCAAGTTCATTGTAAACAAATTCTTGCAAAGCCCTTGGGGTAAATAGTTTAAAGCCAATTTTAACCAATCAGAGATGAGAAAGGAATTGAGTCTTTGCCACAAACTCAAATTTTCTAATACCTTATACCTTTGCAAACCTTTGATATTTCAAACGTAAATTATCTGATCTAACAGAATTCAGAGATTGAAAGGGTTTGACATTGGGTTGCAAATATCAATGTAAAAAATAATATACAAGCTTTTGCGCAAAAATGGAGGATTTTTCTATCTTTTACTCATGATATATGAAGTTAGAGAAATAAGCAACTACAGTTTTAAAATGATTATGTCCAAGGCTACAAAAAGTGAGTTGGTGAGGTAAAATCAAAGCTATAGGACATTGTGACTTTTAAAAAAATCTGTTTTATAACTCTCATGTTTGTCTAGATATCTTTTTTAACAGTCTACTTGTGTAGTTGGCTAGATATCTTATCTAATAGTTTACTTGTGGAGTTGTCTAGATATCTTATCTAATAGTTATTATACCAAATTGCAAAAACATGTTGATTTGCTGAAGTAAACAATAATTTATTATAAAAGTACATTCTTCTTATCTAGTTACAATGCCAGGGAAGGAATCTGGTGACCCGAACATTATAAATCTATCTTTGCAGAGTTATTTTCTTCAAGAAAAAGCTTTGTCCTAAACTTGTAATTGAGCTGAATACATTTTCGGGATAAATAAATTATTCTTTTTTTTCTAAAGTCGTAAAAGATTCACAATTAATGTTTTTTAGTAAGAAAAACAACGATGTATTC